ACACATGTGCAGGTGAGCCTCTTGAATATCCACTGCTGAAGTATCGAACAGCTGGATGACAAGATGATGACAGCCTAGGTCTTAGACGACATCAGAACGGAACCATGTGACACAAGCCGGATGGCGATTGGGAACTATCTTCCATTCATGCGTAAAAAGAACAAAGTAAATTGGCATGAGTCAATACATTGCTTTTGTACGTACTGTATCGTGCGACGGGTTCCCAGGATCGTGGCACGAGTTCCTATCGACCTGTAGTTGACCTCTAGGAGCTTACGTCGGACTCCCGGGGCCTTCGATTTCCCTTCGGACAGGGATTTTATCCGGAGCAGCAGCTTACATATAATACCTATGGAGCAAATGGTAAACTTATTGGACTATTTGAACTATATTTTGAAGGGGATGGAAGCTATTCCAATGTTGACGGGACGAACTCAACTTATTTTACACAAAGATACCCAAGTAGACACCATGCGGAAAATTTGGATTCGCAAAGTCAGTTTAACATCCAGTTCAGCTGGCCGGCAGAATCCTGGCCGGAGCCTTGAGTTTGAAGGTTGCGCTTATCGTTGGACATGGGTATATCTTGCGGTGAGTAAGGTGAATTCGGCGTGGAGTATTTGGGCTCAGTGTTATGCCCATGCATTTTGGAGGCTTCTAGTCTGTCGCCCACCCCATGGTCTCCATCTTGCATAATTCCGATGGAATTTGGTTGTTGATCATTCTTGGCCGACTTCCCTGAGTGCGGAGGGAAGTTGACCTTCAGCACCAAGGGGCTTGATCGGCTCGACCGGCTCGATTTCGAAGGTCTTTCCGGCTTTCCACTCTCTACTTGGATTCCCATTCGCTTAGCCTGCTGCCTTAGAGAATTGACACTAAGCCGATTCCCCGTGGTCTTCCAGTAATCGTCTGCTATCCCGGGCCAGGACATATGACATCGGCCACGCATAAAGTCCGCATATGCTGTTTTTTCTGCCCTGGTCCAGCGGTGGCGAGGCTGTGAATGAAGCACGCCTTCCCCCCCGGTGTTTGTGCAAATGGTTACTCTTTCAGATGCAACAGGGGCTTTGTGCGGCGTGATTTGCTGAGTTTGCACTAGTCGGGTATCAGGTGGCGGAGTTTGTGGTGCATCAATTGGCATGGTGCAATCTTCGTCACCCCCCCCCGAATTCCCCACTGAAGATCCGAGAGATGAAAGCCGTGAAGACATGATCGGCCCCTGGTCAACTCCAGGGAGGAGGGTGCGATTCCGGTCAGAGCCGAGAGATTGTTGCTATAATCTTTGAGTTGTTTCACGACGTGTTGGATCTTCGCAAATGCTAATGAGTTTTAGCCGCTTGGTACATGAATCTTTCACGATAGCTGTGACTTCTCACCTTGCATCATATCTTTACCCAGCTCAGACATGTCGCCTAGCGGGGCAGTGATAGTCTCCTGCTCTGCTTTCAGATCCTCAGGGAGGTGCCCCGAGCAGAATATCTTCCGAAAAACAGGAGAGCAAACTGCTTCCCGGTCATGTTTGTTCATTTCTATTGTCAGACCTTGCGTACGGTAATGAAACATTTCATTGCCATGGGGTTTGAACTGGCCAGGTCTTGCTCCTCGAATGAGATCTACCCAGCCCGGAGTAACTCCATAGTCATTGACCGGACCATTTATCTCAACGATACGTGGGCAAGGGCTGCTGAAGGAGCCGCCAATGATATCTTCCAATCTGCTGCCGAGTAGTGGTACGTTCAGGTGCCTCGCGATACCCTTTCCTTCACCGAAAGCGGTAGAGTATGAGTCCAACTACGTAAGAATTGACTCGATTTTGGCGCGTAAATCAGAAATTTTTTGCAATTGATCAGGGTTATGATGGACAAACAAGTCCAATTCGGAACCACGCTGGTCTTGAACCGATAGAGGAAGTTCCGCGGTGTCGGGGCTTTCTTCCATATTTCAATGGTCAGAATCGAACGTTCGGGATCGAAAGGTTCAAGGTGCACGATAAATATAGTTGAACAGATGCGCAGACCGGTCTCAGCGGTGAACGAGGGCCAATCTTCCTTTCGCTTTCGAGTGCAGAATTACGGGTAATATATATTACATACTGAGTATCTTCCTTTCTATCGGCGAGAAAGTGCTCACCTCCACTTGTTCCTGACCTACTCACATGTGACTTTCGATCAAGGAACAGGGTCGCATCAAATCGCGTGCTCGAGAAATTGTAACAGTTCATTTTCATTTTGATTCATCCTAGACTGAGTTGGAATGACCGTTCACTGCGGGTTATAAGGGAGCAAAGCCAATGACATGTGGTATTTGTTGGTTGTAGCGAGCGCCGTTGGTGATGGATTTGATTAGCGCGCAAGAGGCGCGGTTAGCTCTCCCACTAATGCAAGGACACCGAATTTAGTTTGATGCGAGACTTCCGGCTCAGGAAATGTGACGCGGCTATCCGCATCGAAAGTTCGGCAAACTTGTTCGCCTCAGAGCCTTCTGGCGCGATGGTGATGAATAAGACCAGGTTTCGCATCATTGGCTGAGCTTGATTATATGACTTCTTTATGCCTGTCCGACACATTGTGTTTTGACTCGCGTCGCAAGCAAAGTGCCAAGCTATGGCACAGAAAGAACCACTTGCTGATCATATCGTACACATTACGACACAACCGATCTGAATGGATCATAGTAGGGTTTGTTGATCTACGTGGATGCAAGAAATACTAATTCGGCCCGCCACCTTTGACCCTTCACCTGCCTTTTTCAATCTTCCCACACGAATGAAATCCAACACCTATCTGGGATTCCAACATCCTACTAATCCTAACCAAGAGGTTTCGACGAGTCCAAGGTTATTGAAAGAAAGATTCAAGACAAACAGAAGTGCGAAATGAGGATAGGGCAGGGGTATTGACGTTGATCTGGATTACGGTGGACCGCAAGTTCATGATTAGTGAACAAGTTGCGGAACAAAGCTCCTTACTGTCGGTTAAATGCAGAAATTCCAAAGGCTAGTTCAATTGGGGTTGCTACCCAGGACACGGCACAATAATTGTGCCGCGGCTTGCTCCACAATAACTTTACGAATACGAGACGTATTGACGCGTTGGTAATCTACCCGATGATCTTCCAATGCGGCAGCGCTTCGGGTGATCTTTGCGCTGAAATCAGCTGAGATGGTCCGTATGGGCAATGCATAGGCCGACGTCTAGGCGGTAATATCTCGACATTACCAAAACGCACGATGTAGACCAAGAGTTTATTTTGCAGTCCCAGTCTCTCTTGATAGTTCAACTTTGTTGTATTTCGGAAAATTGCATAATTTCCTCGGATTTGGTAAAGTATACGTCATGGCGGTAATTAATGTTCCTATGCCTTCGGTAATTGACCCATGCACAGTTCTCTTGTAATTGTACTAAGTCTCTCTTAACCCGAATTTGATTCATCTCATTTTGCATAATACAGCGCTATACTAAGCTAGAAAATCCACTACTAACTTGCCTCCGGCTACAGCGCCTGCTCGTAGTTTGTTCAATCCATCTAAAATACCCTCAAACCCTTCCTTTTGCCGGACAGTAGGAATCGGTTTCAAGATGTGTGTGATTGTTGGAAGGCCCTTGTAAAAACGGACAAGAGCTTCGCGGTCGGCTTGTTTGGCCTCGAACTTTGGGCCAATTGGGGGTAACCACTGAAAAGGGTGACCAAACACCGTATACGCCATCACCATCTCGTACGACACGCCCGGTATGCTTGACTTGCCGTTAGGCAATAGCATTACCACCGTACCGCCAGTGTTCTTCAGTACTTCTGCACATACGGAAGTAGATTTTCCTTCGGAGAAACAATCGACGGCCTTCGAGATCTTAGGATACTCCTTGACGACATCTGCTGCAACGGTTGCCGATCTGTAGTCAAACACTGCAGTGGCGCCGTACGCCTTGACAAGGTCGAATGAACGCGGCGAGGCCGTCGCAACAACTTTATACCCAGCTGCCTTTGCAATCTGGATGTGAAATAGCCCAGTGCTGGTGGCACCAGCATAGATGAAGATCACCTCATCTTTAGGGGTTGTCTGATCACCTTGGACGAAGGGGAGGCCATGACGGATATTGAGGGTCAACATGGCAGTCACGGCTGAGACACCGTACGTGGTGGCGTCCGTGTCGCTGATTTCATCAGGAACCTTCCAAGCCAAATCCGCGTCGACTTTCAAGTACTCGGCGAAAGCGCCCTTGTCGGGAAAAAGGCCACCGTGGACGGCGCCCGCCACGCGATCGCCGGGTGTCCATCCAGACCTGACGGCGCTGCCGACCTGTTGGACCACGCCGGCATAGTCGCAGCCGATGATGGAGTGAGGAGGAGAAATGACATCTAGGTGCTTGAAATCTGTTGGATTCAACGCGACCGCCTTGACTTTGACCAAAATCTCGTTGGGTGAAATTGTAGGAATGGGAACATCGTCCTTGACCTTTCCCCCCTGGCCACCGACTGATTTGCCACTGGCGTGGTTGAAAATTCTGGTAGCAATTCTGCGGTTGGAAATAAGAGCCTTCATGATATGGATGCACAACAAATGACCAAAAGGATACGGTGAAGAGTACGGAGTCGCAGGTCCTAGTATTTATGGAAATGGTCAATTATCAACGCCACATGCCTTTGCAGATAAGCCAGATCAACGAGGAAAGTTTAAAAATGCGCCACTGGAATTTGCGGTGGGGATGGAGCAATTATCTTGCCGACGGCGTAGTAAAGTTAAAGTTAGTGCGGTCCTGACGGAATGGTTATGTAACTCACCCGAATATCCATGGATGGATCCATGGATCCATAACGTGGGAGGAGTCAAGGCACATCAGTATAGGTCGCTGAGAAATGTGTTTAATAATCAGCTGATCTTATTCCTATATCCTACATTATACCTTAGGTTACTCGTGCTTCATACTACTTCAGTATACATAGGCGGTGTTGTGCGGTGAATATCCTTCATAATCAGCCTTATTTCTCCCAATATGTCGGACTCAAAGCAAAGGTCAATCCTTATCACCGGGTGCGTTGAGACCTATCAACTCCCTCCATATTCCCTGGCCTAACCGCTCACCCACCAGATGTTCCCAAGGGGGTGCCGGTAACGCCCTAGCCTTGCAGTTTGCTTCTAAGGGCTTCCGCGTCTTTGCGACCGCCAGGTCGCTGAAGACTTTGGCCAACCTTCACGGGAAAAATATCGAAACACTGACTCTCGATGTCACGGACGCGAGCAGTATCAAGGCCCTAGCGGCAGAAATTTCGAGTCGTACAGGAGGTTCTTTGGACATACTCTTCAACAATGCGGGCACTCGTGAGTTATCTCCAGAATAGTCGATTGCAGGTTTTCGCACGGAAATTAACGCTGCTCGCACCCTAGTTTACGAAGCACCCGCCATCGAGGCAGATCCCGCCCGCGTGCGTGCACTCTTCAACACGAACGTTTTTGGCCTCATGGAAGTGACTACTGCCTTGACCCCTCTTCTGCTCGCCAGCGTGAGCTCAGGCTTTTCGCCGATAATAGTTAATGTCGCCTCCATCCTAGCGCGCGTCCCGAATCCATTCGCTTCCGCTTACAACGCTAGCAAAGCGGCTGTAGCAGCCTACTCGGACACTCTTCGACTCGAGTTGCAGCCGCTTGGCCTCAATGTCAAAACATTGTACATGGGAGAGGTATCGACTCCCTTGATGGCGGCGGACAATATCAACTTTGGGCCGGAGAGTATCTACCACGTCGTGGAGGATTCTGTAAAGGCGCGAACAAACACTCACCTTGCAAAGACGATGGCGCCGGCTCAGTTTGCCCGGGAAGTTGCAGACGAAGTTCTCAGTGGAAAGAGTGCCACCATTTGGAAAGGTACTAATGCCTTTGCGGTTTGGTTTTTGAACGCAGTGGGACCAAGGAATGTATTCGACAGTACCGTGTTGAAGGGGGTTGGACTAGACAAGGAAGAGGCCAGGTCGAGTATTTTTAAGCTTGGCCAAACAAAGGCCAAGAAGGATGCGCCAGGAAAGGGTCAAAGTAGCCAGATATAGCTAGGCTCACAAGCCTTAGGGATGTTGACATATTTGGCATGCATATAGTAATACAAGTGTTTAGTGTTTGAGTTTCCCACCTTGACTGTGTTAAATTTCTTTGAAATATATATGTATATATGTTTGGGAAGAAGAGACAGAAAGCTTGCTAGGGAGAGAGAAGAGAAACTGTCGCCAACTGACATAGCGGTTGTGCGGTCTTTTAATTCGTGGGTCGATTGCAGGTAGTAACTTGAGATCATTTTCATCGAGTTCAGTGATATTAACATCCTTGTGATTTGCCCCACATCGGACCACGGATAATTTCAACTAGTGATCAGTCATCGCTCCGATGATCCTGGCGGAGACGGCGTAAATCATGATCCGAAGACCGAAGCCACCGTGGAGGCCACTCCACTGTAAAGGCCAATGGGGAAGTTATGGCTAAGTGCAGTTCCACTTCTGTAGCTAGCAATCCATCTGGATGAGATAGAGAGCTGTCGAATTTATGTACGGAGTAAGGCCCCATCAGTTGATCTTGTGTAGCAAACAAATAAATGCTTTGAGAATTTGCCTCCTACCTCAAATCTCAAATTCTTTTTTTCTGAACCAGACATGAGTGCCTCCAAAGTTCTAGTGGTGGTCGGCATTACGGGAAACCAGGGGTCCTCTGTCGCAAATGCCTTCCTCAATCTCCAGGGCTGGCACATTCGTGGCATCACCCGAAACCCGTCCTCCCCCGCAGCCCAGCAACTGACCTCGAAGGGGGTGGAGATTGTGAAAGCGGATCTGGACGACATTGCTTCCCTCGAGAGTGCATTCCACGGCGCCTCTGCGATATTTTCAGTCACGGACATCTATAACCACATGTTCAACCCTGCCAACTTCCCTAAGGCACAGGAAGCCGGGATATCCGTGAATGAATATGCCTGCAACCTCGAGACCACACAGGCCATGAACATAGCAATCGCTGCTAATTCACCTGCCGTCTCCTCTACGCTCACGCACTTCGTGTTCAGCAGTCTTAGCGATACTAAGCGCTGGTCGAAGGGCAAGTACACCTGGAACTTCCATTTCGATGGCAAGGCACAAGCAGTGAAGCGCATTCGGGAGGAACTGCCGGACCTTGCTGCCAAGCTAAGCACTGTTCAGGTCGGAATGTATGCAAGCAACTGGAAGGGGGGGCTTGGGCGGCCTCAAAAGCAGGAAGACGGGTCTTTCGTTGTACAAATTCCTGACGGGCCGGAAGTTGAGCTTCCATGGATCGTCGTGGACCGAGATACAGGCGTCTATGTGAAGGTATTGCTGGAGAATTCTCCAGGAAAGAATGTTCTTGCGTATACCCAGATGACCACATGGCGTGAATTTTGGACGCTGTGGGCCGATGTTCGGAACGTCAAGATTGATATCAAGGTGGTTGGCCTGGATGACTACTTCAAAACACTGCCGGAGTTTCTTTCGAGGGAGTTCCAAGACTCCTTAAGGTATATTGTGGAATTTGGATATACTGGTGGGGACCCCGATGTGTGCTGCACGCTACAAGATTTGTCGCCGGAGGCTAGGACAGCAAGCCTGAAAGAGTACATAGAGGGTGAAGACTGGTCTAGTCTTGAGTAATATAAGCTCCGCTTGAGACGTATGAGACGTTGTGTATTAGTAAATGATTCTCAAGTTGACTACACCCGTCATCAAACGAGAAATTTCTAGACAGAGTGGTCATCTTGCACGAGACCCCAACCCACCCGTCTTTTCAAACGTCGCTATTGAAATCCTCTGTAGCCCTCGAAACAATGTTTGGCGTGATGCAAAGTTTTCCCCAGCACAGTAAAGCTGCTGGAAGTTCCACGATGTATTTGATAGATGTTAGTACAGTGGAAGTTCCAGAAGGGGCCAAAGGGAAGAACTTATCAAGTGACTGCTTGACTTTGCAAAGTCAAGTGAATTGATCGTAGAGGAAATTACCGGGGGTAGAGGACGTATTTATAGGCTTCTCGCCTTCTGTCACTTGCAAGCTGGGTAGGAAACGTTGAGGGAAACCTATCCCTATTGAGGGTTGTTAAAGGCCATATTTTCTTTTCCCGCAACTATTTGCAGCGACACTTTTGATGCCTTTAGCTGCTCAGCGAGAGAGACAAGTAAGAGTTGTGTTGAGAAAAAGAGAAGACTTGAGTCGGTCAAGAAACGTTGGCTGACTGTTGATTCCTTCACGGCCCTCTTAAATTGAGGCTTTGTGGGAGATATTCAATCCGCAATGACAAGCTCTTTTTTTTCTGATCAGCTCATCTGTGAGCGACTCAATATTAGATCACCCGCCAGTTGTGCCTACAATTTCCATTTAAAAGGTCAAAATATTCTGCGAGTTAACTCACTATTAATGAAAGTACTGCCTGTCATGTCACCCTATCCTTAACCTGTCACCGCCTGTGCAATAACCCTGATTTACCGATAGCGTAATTCAAGGAGAAGATTTGACCTAAATCTGCACATTGGAGGGTGTTTATAGGTACAAGCGAGCTACTCTTGTAGAAGTAAAAGAACGAAGAGATGGAAATATTGTCGGGCGCGTTGATAACCATATTTAGGGGAGATGTGCGTGAATTACATGATTTGTTGGAGCCCAGACGGTGAAAGATGAATCCAACAAAGCAATCACAGCCTACCTGTAGTTCAAGGCCAAGTGCGAAAGTTGCCCTCCTCATCCAAGTGACCTTCAAGGTAGAGCGCAATTCTACAGTTGGAAGCTGCTTCAATGGCCCTTTTCACATCACTAGCACATTTTGCACGAGTGTCCCTGTAGAGACGCTTGACAACCTGTTCGTGTCCATTCCGAGCTGCTTTGCATAACGCCGTGTCCCCGAATTTGTCAGTAGCGGTACCATCCAGTCCATTTTCCTCCAGCAAGAGATTTATAATAGCCAAGTTACCATCGTAAGCGGCCAAGAAAAGTGCAGTGTCTCCCATATAAGTTTTGAGATTGATGTCGGGGGGTGTTGTGTGTTCAAGGAGTAACCTTATAACTTCCGGGTGGCCCATC